CAGTGGCTGAGCTCAGCTGTCGCAGCTCCAGGCACATCCATCGTTTTCCAGTCTTCCCTCCAGGTTTGCGCTCTCTGGCCACTTGAGTGGTTGGGCACAATGATGTCACCAGCACACCGAGGGGTCCAAAAGTTTTAATGAACGATCACATAGCCTGTCACATGCCTGATGAAGGGGTCCTGCGAGACACCAAAACATTGTCTTACTGTAACTATGTGATCGTTCATTAAAACTTTTGGACCCATATTGGTGATCCTCGGTGTGCTGGTGACATTCTCCCTTTCTGATTCTGTTCGGTTCCAGCCGACGGTTGTTGCAGCACCCACTTATACACACAGCCATTTTTAACGCAGGAACAAGTGCATTTGGATTGTACACTTGCATAATGATGTCACTGTCGCACAGAGCTCTCCATAAATGCAGAGTGTACTGCGCATAGTGATGTAGTAGTATACAACAGGTGCTATGTGAACACTTTATTCCAATGCATATAGATGCAACAAGATACACTTTTGAAAACTGCTTTGTAAAGTGTCTCTTTAAGGCCTATTCACACTAAAGTGATCTGTTGTGATCTGTTAAGGCTTGTTGATGCATGAGTTAAGAAGGCAGCCTACTGATTATGAATGGGCCACTAATGCACCACAAAGAATTACAAAAGTGCAAAATACTGCATAACACAACACACAGTATATGTATTGTGATGCTGTGTGGTTCATGGTGTGCTGTATTCTATTATCCAACATGCTGTCCTGGTATTCACAATGAATGGAAAAACAGCCCATTGTACATAAGGGAAGGTGCGGTGCCATGCATTACGGCACATAAACGTGTGTGTTTTAGCATGCCTTGCATAATACACATGCCTTGAAGCTGAACTTTAGGCATTTGTAAAAGTTACAACTTGGAGTTCTATATTTATTAATAGAATTTTACATATATTTTAAAAACAACCAACAGTGTAAGTACTGTACTTGCATTTGACCTAGTATCAGCATTTTGCAGTTCCTGTACAGCAGAGCTCAGACTGGCAGAGGGAGAAGCAGCACAAAGAGTCAATCAGTTGTGCCAAAGTAGTTGAGAGAACATGGTGACAGAGATGAAGTTATTAGTCTGCTGCTTCTTGTTTGACAGTCCAGTTGCAGATCGGGAGGGCACAACACTTATTTACTTGCAGCATAGAAAAACTAGGTCTCCTGACTTGCCAGGCAGGGCTGTGCCAGAGCTGAGTTAAACTGAGAAATGGATGGAGAGAAATGCAAATTCTTTAGCAGGCAATACTGCTCCCATATATTTATTCCCCATTTAATATTATCGCAGTTTGCCTGGTGTTGACCATTAAATGAAAAATAATCACAGAACAAACAATAATTATTTCCCTCGCTTACTGACAACATTGTCCTAAACAATGCACAGATGGATTATTCTGCAATTTATACCCCAGATGTATATAAAGATTTAACATATTAAGCCACTGATATGATACAACACAAACTGAACACAAAAGTTGCATTTTTTTCCTAATTTTAACTGATTTACAATATTACCATTCTTAAAATGAATTTGACTAGTTTCTGAAACATCCCTTGCTTAGAGAAAAGGGATGTTTAATAAAATATAGAAAGGGGGCTGGGGTTTTAATAAATACATTATAGAAAATATCTATACATTGCAATTACCATGAAAGAAAACTAAGGAATACAAAAATATATTTGTATTGTTCTTGTTACTAAAGGTTGCTTTGTCTGGTGTTTCAAAATTGTTGTTAAAATCATTGAAATTCAGGCTAAAATGAAATATTCTTGGGGAAAATTCTAATTTTTAGACCCCCCACAGTTACTACCTTTTGTACCACTAGCCCCTCCCTCTTAGATTGTAAGCTCCAAGGAGCAGGGCCCTCCTAACCCTCTTGTATTGAACTGTATTGTTGCTGTATTGTCTCCCTTTATATTGTAAAGCGCTGAGCAAACTGTTGGCGCTATATAAATCCTGTATTATAATAATAATAATAATAAAAAAGCAAAGCCTACAATTTTAGTAAGATTGCTAGCTAATAATATGAGGATTGATTGATTACACAGCTCAAACTAGTTCTCTTTGGTGTGAAGATTTATTTAATAAAAATAAAGAAGCTGCTCAAATGTATGAGCTTGCACACAAAAATCGTGAATAATACCCATGTGATGCAAACATATACATTTGTGGGAAATTAAATTTTTTGATATTTACATTTTGTTTTTTCAGGGCAAATGTAATTTATTCACTCATTTATCAAATTCTGTTTATTTTCAAATCAAATGTGACTAGAATGTGTTAACTAATAGTCATGTTATTTATGCATTTTTCTGCCAAAGATAAAGCAGTGCTGAATTCAGTATATTCTAAGAACATTTAATCCTAAGAGAAAATATCCTAAGCACATCTGATCTGAAAGAGGTTTATTTACTAAAGCTTCATTCAGACTCTCTGCACTTCTGCATAGAAACCAATCAGCTTCCAGGTTTTATTGTCAAAGCTTAACTGAACAAGCTGAGGTTAGAAGCCGATTGGTTCCAATGCACAGCTGCACCCAGATTCTGAGCGCTCCATCTTTAGTAAATAAACCCCGAAGGGTAGATTTAGGTGTGTATGAGCCTAGGTTCACACTACAGCAAAGCGGTAAATCCCATGTGATTCGCACAGGAACCGCACTGCATTCCTGTACAAATCCCATGATTTGTATGCGGTGCGATTAGAGCCATACGTTTTGTATGGCTCTATTTGCACTGCACCCACACCAGAAACATGCAGGGCCCTTTTTTGGTCCGCACTAGAATCGGATTGCATAGGTGATCCGATTCTGCACATTGCACCACGTTTTGTGGACCAATGTCAAGGTTTTGTTAACTTAACATACACACCCGCATTGGTTCGTATGAATGGGGTGCGATTGTGATGCAATGCGGAATTCGCGCTGAAAACGCTGCAAATTCCTCACCGCATCAGTGAGAACCAGGGCTGAATCTCCCTTTCCTCTGAAGCCAGATCTGCATTTGGATCGTCCTTCATGGGCTACTGATAGGTGGTGAGGAAGTGATGCAACGCCTTCTCAATGTCTGTTTTAACCCCATTTTTATTGACAAAGGCTCCACAACCACATATATTGCGCACAGTTGCGTTTGCGGCACTTCTCTATTTTTTTTGAATATGTAGCTTTGGGTGGGCTTGCCGCTCACCAATCGCAACATGTCAGGAAAACTTTGCCCAGTGTGTGAAATAGTCAGGACAACAGCATGTAAACACCCCTGTCTGCTGCTATTGTAACTTAACAGGGCATGGTTTACTGGCTCAAACATGGATTTTTGCCACCCTCACCTAACGTTAGGTTCACACTTATGCAAAGGTTTCCAGTGTGTTTCCTGGTTTGCAAAAATGCACTACAATCCATGTAACATGATTTCCTACAGTTCACGTTCACATCTGTGCATTTTTAGCCAGTGCGCGTTTTTGTAAAGGCTTAGGAACTTTTTTCCAGCAGCAGTTTGCATTTTTGGTTCAACAAAATTCAAAGGAACCACATAAAAAATGCAGGTATTGTTTTTTTTCATGTGTTTCTGCTGTATTTTTCACTTGCATGGCAATAAACACCTCCCCCTAACAACAAACGTACCAAAATACACAAAAACGCATTACAAAACACGTGTTCAAAAATGCAAGATGCATAGGTGTAAACCTAGGATAACCCACGTCTAAATGAAGCCTAAGTGAAATGCCCTAGAAATATTTGATCAGAAGAAAAAATGCCTTAAAAATTATTCGCACCACAGCAACAATTTTATACATTATGCAAAAATATCTAAAACTAATGAGCGAATGCTGGTTAATTAACAAGCAACAAATGTAAATGCGATGCAGCTTTTTTTAAATAAACTGACACCCTCAGTGTGTAAGTAGAAAGCGGTATCGATTTTTAATTAAAAAAATAAATAAATAAAAAAATTGTAGTGTTGTGCCACCGTGCAAAATGAATCACTACTACTACTTGCAAATATTACACCAAAATGCAACTATCCTTTTTAGTAATGGATTGCTACTTTTAATGATTCATTGTTTGCAAATGTGAACGCGCACTTAAGCTACTAAAAATGAAACTTTTTGGAAACGAGCAAATATACAAACAGCGCTGCATCTGTGAGCTCATGCCAAGGCAATGGAATTCTTCGAATCATGTAGACCTGGCCCTGCAAACAACTGCATTGTAAATACGTCTCACGCAGACCCAGAAAAGGTGAGGGTGTTTGTACAATTTAAGTGTGGCTATTTTTACTCTGAAATTGTGTATTTGAGTCAAATCCTTTCATAAATATAGTCCACGGTGAAGCTGTTCTATGAAATCTGAGTAAAAATGGGGAGCTTGTGCACACAGCAGCCAATCAAATTTCATATTTCAACAAGAATGTAGGTGCATTACCATGGGTTACTGTTATTATACAGGATTTATATAGCGCCAACAGTTTGCTCAGCACTTTACAATATCAAGGGAGACAATACAGCAACAATACAGTTCAATACAAGAGGGATAGGAGGGCCCTGCTCCTTGGAGCTTACTGTTATTTATTTCAGGTACTTGTATAGGGCCATCAATTTAAGCAGTGCTTTACAAATATATATTGTACATTCACATCAGTCCCTAACCCTCAAGGGGTGTACAATCTAAAGTCACTAACCTACATTCATATACTAGGGCCAATTTAGACAGGATCCAATTAACCTACTAGCATGTCTTTGCACTGTGGGAGGAAACTGGAGTATCTGGAGGAAACCCACACAGAGGGAGAACATGCAAACTCCAGGGAGGTGGTGCCGTGGTTGGGATTCAAACCAATGACCCTGGTACTGCCAAGCGGAAGTGCTAACCATTTAGCCACTGCGCTGTTATAATCTCTTTGGTTTCTATAACTTAACGCCTTGTAGTAACACCCTTCTGCACATAGGGGATGATTTACTAAAACTAGAGAGTGCAAAATCTGGTGCAGCTGTGCATGGTTGCCAATCAGCTTCTAACTTCAGCTTGTTCAATTAAAGTGTTCCTAAACCCAGAACCCTGCATTCACTATATCTGGTCTCCCACAGTACACAGAACATGAAAATGCAATTATTTTAGTAAATATAAACTGCTAAATACCTTTTCTCATCAGCAGTCAGAGCAGTCTTGTGACTTCAGCAGAGCACTGGCTAAAGCTTGTAGGAGGAGCTTTCTTTCTGCTCTAGGAGGATGCAAAACTCGTGACCTGTGTCTGGACAGCGCTGATTGGCCCTGTGCTGATCAGATGCACTATCCCAGGAAAAAAAAAAACTCTCTAGCAATACACACCAAACTGAGCATTAGCAGAGTGTCTCCACAGGATATGTCTTATCAGGAGATAAGAAGGAGGCACTGGAAGAAGGGGAGGATCAGAGAAGTCAGAATCAAACAGCCTTTTTACACAATGCAGAGGATTAACCCCTTAGGTTCCACAGTGAGTATAACAATCATGCTTTACTGCATATACAGACTGATTTTACTGTTGTGGGTTTAGTAACACTTTAAGCTTTGGCAAAAAAAAAGGAAGCCGATTGGTTTCTATGCAGAGCTGCACTAGATTTTGCACTTTTCAGTTTTAGTAAATCAAACCCATAGCGCAGCTTTTTGGGCCCAATAACAGGAATTTTAACTGCTCCTGGCCAGCTTGCTCTGCTGTTTTACTAGAACCTTTGATTTTCATCATACAAGGAACAATAATAATATGCGGCTCGCTTTTATAGGCCAGACTACTAATGCACTAAAAAAACACAAAGTAATACAGTGAGGCTTAAGACATGGAAAAATCAATGTGCGGCGATCGTTATTAATACGCTAATGGAGAGCGCAGCGACAGAAAAAACTGGAAAATATCATGTAACTCACTTAATGTTAACTGGAGCTGGACGAACAAAAAATTAAAAAAAAAAAAAAATTGAACGCTTGCTTTTAGACAATGTCAACACTTCAACAATACATTTACAGATGAAGTGGCAATAGTAAATGACTCAGACACATTACCTAAATGAAAGTAATATAATAATGCTACAATGCTACAATATCGTAGTTTGGGTTTTAACAATTAAATGCCTATTTCTTCAGACTCCCGCTGCTGCTCCAAAAACTATTACCATCTGACAGCTGTAGCCCGGACTGAGTCATATGATTTCATAGTTGGTGCTGAGCCCAGAGAATGGACACTGCCCACAATTCTGGGCTGTTTACCAGACTCAGGCTAGACTGCTGCAAGAAATATGCTGCTAAGAAACACTCCCCTTCCCCCATCCCCAATTACTGTCTTCTTGAATATAGTACAACACTACCCTCTGCAGGCCACTGCGAAAATGGATGTGGAAAAAATGGGTTCAAATACAACTCAATCAAAACATACACTTTTGTATCTGAAAGCAATTGATAACTTTTTAATGAATAATTAATAACTTTTGTTTTAAATAAGGTACACAGTAAAAACCCAGTCAGGGGCAAGAGAAAGAAAAGAAAAGAAAAAAACAAGATTTCTGCTTGTACGTGATGAATGCAGCGAATACAGCATAATTACCACTTAGATTGTAAGCTCCCAGGATCAGGCCCTCCTATCCCTCTTGTATTGCACTGTATTGTTGCTGTATTGTCTCCCTTTGTATTGTAAAGCTCTGAGCAAACTGTTGGTACTATATAAATCCTCTATAATAATAATAATAAATTACTGAACTAAACATTCTCCATGCAAAGTGAACATTCTCTAATTCTTTACCAAACAAATCTTTGAGATTCAGAATGGGAATCCCAGAGGATGTACCTTTACAACTAAATCACTAAACAAAAGTAACTTTTTTTTTTAAACCACTCTTAAACCCAAAAGCAAACATTTATTATATTGCAGCTTATCAATTCTAAGATGTGGTGGCTGCATTTTTTTTAGGCTTTTAGGCTTTCTTCTTTTATTTTTATCTGGTGATCCAGCCATCAAGTCTGGTGTTTTTCAAAAGAACAAGCTCTCCAGCAGAATGGGTCAGTTACAGGGATGATACAAACCATTTAAGGCCAGGTTCACACCTATGCAGGTTGCGTTTGAGCAGTTTCTGCACTGCATTTTTGCAACTGCGTTTTTGCGTCTTTATTCTTAATTTTTTTATTTTTCTTGTTGCTAGGCAGATTTAAAATGCAAAACGCATCAAGAACATGGCAAATGCATCAAAAATGCAATACACTTGCTTTTCTGCAGCATTTCCATTGACGTCTATAGAACCAAAAACATAACTTTTTGCCAAAAAGTTCCTGACCCTTTACAAAAAATGCACCAGGTGAAAACGCGGAGATGTGAACCCATCCCATAGCAAATCATGTTAAATGGACTGTATTGTGTCTCGGATAAATGCTGCAGAAAACGCTTAGCAGCAGTAATGCTTACAATGATCAGCTTAAATTTTATTTATGTAAAATCTTTATTCCAAAAGGAACAAAACTGTTCAATGTAACTGCATTTGTGTAATAGATAGCAGATAGGAATAGGGTAAGGAAAAAGTTCAAGGGTTAAGCAGTGGTTAAAGCGGCATTCATTCCTAAAGCAAACATTTATGATCATATTTATGCAGCTTATCCATTTCTTAGATGTGATGGCTGCATTACGTTTTGGGCTTTTTTTTTAGGCCTAGGCTCTTCCTCGTCTGTTTAGCATGAAAATCTGTCTCCTATTTGGTGATCCAATCTATTGATCGGCTTTTTTTTTTTTTAAAAGATATACAAAGGAACAAGCTAACGTACCTATCTAAGCGGCGCGCGGGACTAAACTAAAACGAGAAACGCGCGGAGCTCCAGCAGAATGAATGTCAGTTACAGGGATGAATTACTATGAACAATGTAGCATATTGCAGGGGGTTGAATTACAATGATCAGCTTTTGATTTATGTATGCTAAAAATTACTTTATCTCAATGAAGGACAAAACTGTTTTACTGGGGGAAACTGCTTAAAAATAGTAATTAGCTGGATGAATTACTGCTTCAATTGGTATACTGTATCACATAAATCTGCTCCAGTACATCCAACACTCCCCTCCCCCTCCCCTCCCCCCAGATGGACAATGTTGCTGTCCAAAGGTGCTCCCTGTGCTTATTTATCCAGAATGGGGGCACTCTAATACAGGAGGCGTGTTACTGACTAGATCAACTAGTGAAAACAGAAGGAAAAGCCTAAAAAAAAAAAAAAAGAAGAAAAATCAGTGCAGCCACCACATCTAATGACTGATAAGCTGCAATATATAACATTTTTGGATTTGGGTTTAAAGATTCTTTTTATTAATTTTGGACATGTAAAAAAACAATAAAACATTACAATAAAAAACAAACACTTGCAGTCTTTTATTATTGCTCATAAGGTTTAACAGCACAGCAGGGTTTGTGACAACAGGTTGAATAGGAATATAGCACAGGTTAATACAAGGCATGGGATATACAAGCAAGTCAAGGTTGTCCAACCTCTGAAGACGCCCAGTGGAAGGGGCGAAACGCATCAGTTGTGAGCCATGGTGACATCATATTCGGCCACGGTCGTGTGTATTTCCAGTCCAGCATTTTATACTTGGAATCATTTTATTCATTTTATTATACTGTTTGTTTTTTTATTAATAAATGGAATCACACTGTGTGGCCCCCTTCCTTTACTTTCTATACCTGAGTATCCTTATGCTGTAACCGCTGAATTGGGATATCTTGTTACGTGAAGAGTACATCCATACCGAGGAGAACTAAAAGCTTCAGCAGATTCGTAAATCAATTAAGCACAATAGACTCTTACTTAGGTTTAAAAGTCCATTGAAATCGGTGAATGAGCGGGACCACTGGCGGGGAGCACAGCATGTGAATTGGTACTTTCGTTAAGAAGAGTAGTGCACTGGCATAGATTAAGAAACTGCACTTTTTGCACAAGTTTTATGGACTATTAATAGTGTTATTGCATTGATTGATTTATGTTGTATATTATGTTTATGATGATGTAATAAATCAGCGCTCATCTACCAACACTTACATATCTAAGAGGGTCAGCACCCTATGTAGGAGCAGCAGCTACTATTTGTAATATTGTTCACAAATTTTGGAATTTTTTCATTGAATTTTTTTGGGTGTATTCATGGAAAATAATTTTCTTTACTTTAAAACTTTAGTCCATTAGTCTCATTAGACATTAGTCCTCAGCGCAGGATATAGGTCCTTTATCATTCCAATTTATGGATAGAAAATAATTCTATGAGATATTAAAGGGAAAACTGGCTGCAATTTTAAAAAAGCTCTGATCAGGCTTCAACATACTTCAACGTTGACCGGTCTTTGCTGAATTCTGCTATGGACTGATGCTTGAAGCTTGTTCAATGCTTGGTGTTTATATGCCAAGGTCAGGGGCGGACTGACCATTTGAGCACTACGGGCACTGCCCGAGGGCCCTGGGTCAGTAGGGGGCCCCATGAGATGCCCCTGGTACTTTTTTATAGGCTTTATTGGGTGTGGGCGAGGACACGGGGGCCCCATGATCCCCTATTGCCCGGGGGCCCCAAGTTGTCAGTCCGCCCCTGGCCAAGGTTAAACAATACCTGTTGGTTGAGGACCTAAAAGGTTAAATGATCATCACGCATATTTCCAATATTCTCCAAGTTTAGCAATTTGTACGCTCCTGATGATGTCATACGACGAAACATGTAGAGCGGGGCTTGATAGCGCTACACTTGTCCTCTGAGAAGGAATTGCTTTTTGCTGGGATTTAAAATGCCATACACATGTTTTTTATGTAAGTGCAATTTTAAATGCTATGGAAGTTTCCCTTTGATGTTTTTACGGTGGTGGAGGAGTACTGTGGAGGTTCTGGAGGAGTTTTGTCACAAACGATTGATCTAGAGGTGTTTACACTATGGAGTCTGTCATCAGCCTATAGAGGTATCAAGACCACACAGACGGTCAACTTTCCTGCAGGAGAGAACTGCAACATCTTATGCAATATTTAACCTACCATTCCAGGTGGTCAATTATTTGTGGTGAGTGGGGCTCTGGAGGGGGAGCACTAATTGGAGCACTAGGCACAG